GGGAAGGAAATCAGCCGTCCTTACCTGGTTTGCCTTTGTGTCTGGAAAATCACATCTCACAAACTTGATTGAGTTTTTTTTTGACGAGGTGATCAAAGAGACCAGTAAACCTTCGTAAGATCTTCGACAAGATTCTGCATGGTAGATTGGTTAGTAAGTTTAGATCATGTGGGATCCAGGGAAAGCTAGCCAATTGGATACAAAATTGGCTTGATGATAGAAGAGATAGCAAGAACTGCTGATGCTGGAGTCAGAGATAACACAGTGAGGAGCTGGAGGAACACAGCAGGCCAGGCAGCATCAGAGGAGCAGGAAAGCTGATGTTTCAGGTTGGGACCCTTCTTCAGAAATCAGACGATGGTAGAAGGTTGCTTTTCAGTCTGTCACAAGGATTGGTGCTGGGTCCACTGTAGTTCATCATTTATATATAAATGATTTGGATGAGAACATGGCGTGGTATAGTGGACAGTTAAGGAGGCTATCTAAAAGTACAATGAGATCTTGATCAGATGGACCAATGGGCTGGGGAGTGGCAGATGGAGTTTAATTTAGATAAATGTGAGGTGTTGCATTTTGCTAAGACAAACCAGGGCAGGACTTGTACAGTTAATGGTAGGACCCTGGGGAGTGTTGTTGAACGAAGAGACCTAGGGAAGCATGTGCATAGTTCCTTGAAAGTGAAGTGGCAGTTAGACAGGGTGGTGAAGAAGGCGGTTGGCACACTTGCCTTCACTGGTCAGATCACTGAGCACAGGAGTTGGGACATCATGTTGCGGTCTTATAGGACACTGGTGAGGCTGCTTTTAGAGTACTGTGTACAAATCTGATTGCCCTGCTATAGAAAGGATATTGTTAAACTAGAAAGTGTGCAGAAAAAATTTACAAGGACGTTGCCGGGAATGGAGGATTTGAGTTATACAGACAGGCTGGGACCTTTATCCCTTGGAGAGTTGGAGGTTGACGAGTGACCTTATAGAGGTTTATAAAATAATGAGGGGCATGGATTAGGTGAAGGTCTTTTCTTTCTAGGGTGGGGGAGTCTAAAAGTAGGGGACTTAGGCTTAAGGTTAGAGGGGTAAGATTTAAAAGCGACATGGGAGGCAACTTTTTCCACACAGAAGGTGGGGCGTGTATGGAACGATGGGTACAATTATGCAATCCTCTGAGATCTTGCTTTTATTTATTAAAAAAGTCATATTGGAGACAAATATGACATTTCAAATCCCTTCAACTGGATCTTCCATCACTGGCAAGAATATAGTAAAATTAATTTATGTTCAGTCATACATATTGATCTGGTCTTGCAGTGACCATAGTACATGAGTAGGAAAGGTTTAGAGGGATATGGGCCTAACACAGGCAAATGGGACAAGTTCAGTTTGGAAAACCTGGCAGCACGGATTAATTGGACTAACGGGTCTGTTTCTGTGCTGTATGACTCTATGACTGTGTGAATCTAAAACATGTGACTACAGAGACAGCGAGAACTGCTGATGCTGGAGTCAGAGATAACAGTGTGGAGCTGGAGGAACACAGCAGGCCAGGCAGCATCAGAGGAGCAGGAAAGCTGACGTTTCGGGTCGGGATCCTTCTTTAGAAAAAACAAACCCACAGCAATATGTTACACTGTAACCTGTTGACTAAAATGGTGGAGCAAGTCACTCAGTTCAAGGTTTATTACAAATGGGCAACAAATGCTGACCTTGGCAGCGACATCCACATCCTTTTTTAAAATAAAAAGCCAGCATCCAGAGGATTAGACCAGAAGATAGCAAAGCAGAAGTAGGACATTCAATGAGATCATGGTTGTTCGATAATCATGAGCTCCACTTTCCTGCTTTATTCCCCATAACCCTTGACTCTGTTACTGATTCAAAATCTATCTCAGCCTTGGAAACGCTTAACGGACCTGCCTCAACAACGCTCTGTGACAAAGAACTTCACAGATTCACAATCCTTTGAGATCTTTATTTATTAAAAAATCACATTGGAGATAAATAGATGACACTTTGAATCCCTTCAGCTGAATCCTCCATCAGTGGCAAGAACATAGTAAAATTAATTTATGGTCAGTCATATGTATCCTGGTCTTGCAGTGACCATTGTCATACAATCGAGGATTGTCTAGAATTAGCTTTGTTGTCACATGTACTTATGTGAGTACAAGTCAACACTTACAGCGCCATATTAGGTATGAAAGTACCTAGGTACAGATTCTTCAGTACAAGTTCTGAGGGGAAAGAAAATTGGAAAAATAAAGAAATAAAAATTCAGAATAACAGTCTTTCCAACCCAGTCCATGCTGGCACCTAGCCACCAGACTGTGCTGGGCTTCACCTCAAGGCTGGAAATCCTCGCTGGGCCGAGAAACTGTCTCATTAGGCTGGGAGACTGTCATACTGGGCTGCCAAGTGAATGCCATGCCAGGCCAGGAGACAACCATGCCAGGCTGGCCCAAGAGATGCCACACCAGACTGAGAGATTTCCATGCCAGGGTGCGAGACCACCACGCTGAAGCTGGGATTTCAGGACTTTTTTTTTTCCCCTTTTATTCGTTCACAGAATGATGTTGTCACTGGCCAGTCCAGGCCAGCATTTATTGCCCATCCCTAACTGCCCAGAGGGCAGTTAAGAGTCAACCACATTGCTGTGGGTCTGGAGTCACATGTAGGCCAGACCAGGTAAGGACAGCAGTTTCCTTCCCCAAAGGGTATTAGTGAATCAGATGGGTTTTTCCCAGCAATCGGCAATGGATTTATGGTTATCATCAGCGTCTTAATTCCAAATATTCATTGAATTCAAATTCCACCATCTGTCATGGCAGGATTTGAACCCAGGTCCCCAGAATGTTATCTAGGTCTCTGGATTAACAGTGAAGCGATAATACCACTAGGCCATTGCCTCGCCATCATCACCAAGAAGAAAGGAGGACTAAAAACACGAGAGGAAAAAAAGGAAAAAAAATGGATAGAGCAGACAAGCTCCAGCTGCACAGTCTTATTTTGCTGCCATCTTGAAAGAAGAAGGTGTCTAATTTTGGAGGCTCTATCCCCCCACCATCGCCTTAAGGGATCTGCTGAATAAAAGGACAATCCTATTGTGCTAGATCTTGTCAGGCTATTTTAGTGCACAAAGTATTCCTAAGTTTCGCTGGCACTTTCTAATAACCAGCATCAAATCGTGAAGACAACACCAGCTGTCCAATTACAAGCTCGGTCTTGTGCACCTTTGTCCATTGGACTGCATCAGACTGTTAGTTAGTGACAAAATTGAGGCATCATTTGATGGTCATTAATGAGAAACATTAAACCTGTGAGGAGTACTTGCTCGCATTTCTCATGAATGACTTTGGCTATTTTACTAAACATTTACAATTTGTGTTAAAGCCATAACCTGAAGATTTTGCAGCAAATAGTTCCCATGGCATGATAGGAATACTGTTACTGGCAGCTAGAGTCCCAGGGTAGTTGTTTGCTTCTGTAGGAGTTGTTAAGTGATGGCAGAATAGGAAGGGTTCTCATTACAAGGTCATCAGCCTTATATCCTGATGGTGTAGAGATGAATGTATATCTCAGAGACACTCTGGTACCGTTCCCCATTGCAAAACATATATGAATGACCCTGAAATCTATATCATGGTCAGCAGATGAGTGGCAATTTACTATAATTGTGATGAGGCATTTTGGAGAGACTGCAGAAGGTGGAATTGTTCTCCTTCAAGCAGGCAGCCTTAACAGGGGGTTTAATGGGACACTTAAAGTCATGAAGATCTCTGATACAGTCAGTAAAGAGACTTGGTGGTATTTATGCCCTTCCCCAAAGTGGGTTTGGTGAAGGGTTGGACATTTAATCAGAGGGAGGATTGCAGGAGGGGTTTCTTTCCATCTGGTCTGATGAAGTCTGTTGGACAACCTTTCCATCCCATAATCAATATCTGCAAGTAATGCCCAGCTAAGGACACATTCCACCTGCCCATCAGTTTTCCATTCCTTGGGTCCCCATCATCTTAGCTGCTAGTTAACCATCACTCAGTGAGGTTGTGCACTGGAAATTAAACTGCACTATCCCCTGAGGCATATCAAATATGAAAAGATTTAGTCAAACAACCCAAAGTCCCCAATTTATGTGACAGAAAACCTCAGGTTTCTGTGTTTAAAGATAAAACATTTTACATAAAAGATTGTCAATTAGGAAAAATGAATTGCTAAGTTATAACTCAACAACTTAAATTTTATCCCATTTCAAACACCCCTCTTTGTTAACACACAGACAAAGACAAGATGTGGATATTCAGGGTTGAAAGGGGATAAAGTATTGGGGAAACGCAGCCCAATAGCACCAGTCCAGACCAGAGAATTTGATGAGTTGTTTTCTTCTCTTCCTTTCAGTTCTTTTGTCACTGTTCGCTGTTGATGTCAGGTTGTTTGCAAACTGGTGCTGTCTTCTATTCACCTGTTGAGAGCTTGTCCTTTTACTGTCATTAAATGTGTTTTATTCTAAGGCAACAAGGGATTTGTACAGATTGATGAGTAGAAGACAGCTAGCTGTCACTGGGGACTTTTTAGTATCTCCACATAGAAGAGAGAGTGCCCTACTGCTACACTGGCCCTAAACAAGCCATAACCCTTAGTCAGGAACCATTCAAAATGTTGCTGCCAAGCAATCATCTCGTCGTTCAGAATCCATCGGCTCTGTGCTTTTGCTGTCAAGAACCTCACAGTCTGTTTTTATCAAATTCTATACCGAGAAGGAGGGTGTGAGGACAGAATTTGGAAGAAGGACTGTGCAGTTTGACAGGAGGAATGAGGAAGTATTAGAGGTTTTGGTGGGTTTAAAAATGGACAAATCCCCAAGTCCGTTTGAGGTGTATTTCAGGCTGCTATGGAATACCGAGGATGGAATTTTGAGGGCTTTCACACAAATGGTTAATTGTTCTCTGGCCATAGGGGAGATGCCAGAGGATTGGAGGACAGCTAATGTGGTCCCACTTTACAAGAATGATGGTGAGGATAAACCAGGGAATAAAAGGTCAGTGACTCTCACATCAGTGGTAGGGAAAGGATTGAGGGAAAAATTAACAGAGAGAATTAATCTCCATTTGGAGAGGCAAGGTTTGATCAGGGACAAACAGCATAGCTGTGTTTCTTATTGATTGTTTGTGAACTATATAAATGATATAGGTGAGAATGCTTGCAGATAACATGAAGGTTGGCTGGATGGTTAATAGTGAGGGAGAAAATCTTGGGTTGCAGGAAGATGTAGCGGGGTTGGTCAGATCGGCAGATCATGGGCAGATGGGTTTAACCTGGGTAACTGTGAGGTGATGAACTTTGGGAGAAACAACAAAACAAGGGAGTTCCCAATAATGCTCAGGCATTAGGAGGCTCAGAGGAACAAAGGGATCTTGTGGTGCTTGTCCACAAATCCCTGACAGTGGCAGGACAGATTAATTGAGAGTTGTTAAGAAGACGTATGAGACACTTGCCTTTATCAGTTGTGGCATAGATTACATGAGCAGGAAAGTTATGTGGGAGCTGTATGAACCTCTGGTTACTGTATTTAATAGAATTCACAATTCCTGAGATACACAATTCGTCTGTGTCCATAATCAGCAAAACCTGGACAACATTCAGAGTTGGGCAGATAAATGGTAAGGAACATTTGTGTGATACATGTGTAAAGTAATCACCTTCTTCAGTGAGAGTAGTTAGCTGTCTGCCCTCGACGTTCAATAGCATTTGTGACTAATATTACTGTAGCCTTAACTCTACCTTCCTGCCCGTTCCCCCTTAAACTTTAAATCTCTTATCACTAAAGAATTTCTCTAACAGCCTTGATTTGAATATGTTCAATGGCCCAACATCCATTGGTCAATAGCAAACAGAATTTCAAACAGTAATGACCCTCTGAGTGAGGCAGGTCACCTTACCTCCTTTGTAAATGGGGAACCTCTTCTTTTTAAGCTCTGCCCCTGTGTTTGCTGTGTTGAAGCCCCCTCAGAATTTTATGTTTCAAAATGATCACTCATCTTTCTTCTAAACTCCAGCGAATACAGGCCTAACCTGGGGAGGCAATGGCCTGGTGGCATTATTGCTGGACTGTTACTCCAGAGACCCAGGTAAAGTTCAAATCTCGTCATGGCAGATAGTGGAATTTGAATTAATTTTTTTTTAAATCTGGGATTAAGAATCTAATGATGAGCTGAAATTCATTGTCAGTAGTTGGGAAAAACCCATCTGGTTCACTGATAATCTTTAAGGAAGGAAACTGCCATCCTTACCTGGTCTGGCCCACATGTGACTCCAGACCCACAGCAATGTGGTTGACTCTTAACTGTCCTCTGGGCAATTAGGGATGGGCAATAAATGCTGGCCTAGGCAGCGATGCCCTCATCCTGTGAATGAATTTTTAAAAAAACCCTGCTTAACATTGAAATCTTTCTGAACTGCTTCCAGTGTAAATATATTCCTCCTGAAGTAGAGTCATAGAGATGTACAGCATGGAAACAGACCCTTCGTCCATGCTGGCCAGATATCCTTAATTAATCTAGTCCCATTTTTAGCATTTGGCCCATATCCCTCTAAACCCTTCCTATTCACGTACCCATCCAGATGCCTTTTAAATGTTTTAACTGTACCAGCCTCCATCACTTCCTCTGGCAGCTCATTTCATACATGCACCAGCCTCTGTGTGAAAAAGTTTCCCTTTAGATCCCTTTTTAAACTTTTCTCTCTCATCTTAAACTCTAGTTTTTGGATTCCTCTACCCGGGGAAAAGACCCTGGCTACTCACCTTATCCATGCCCCTCATGATTTTATAAACTTCTATAGGGTCACCCCACAGCCTCTGGTGATTCAGGGAAAATAGCCCCGGCCTATTCAACCTCTCCCTGCAGCTCAAACCCTCCAAACCTGGCAACATCCTTGTAAATAAATGAGCAAAACTGTATACAGTACTCAAGTTTGGGCTAATCGATACCCTATTCAGTTTTAGCAAGTTTTCCCTATTTTATATCTAAACCACTTTAGATAAAAGGCCACAGAACCTTTCTGAAATTGTATACTAATAATATGCAGCATTGTACTCTTCCATGGGCACAGATCCAGTAAACCGAATAAGTTACAAAGTGGGTATTAAAAAAAGAGAGTGGGTTAACGATATTTGATTGCATGGTGTATATTGTCTTTGATGTAGAAGCTGACCCCTGTGTTTGTCTTTTTTTTTAAGATTTGGTATCTCGAGGGGCTGTCACCTACCAGCTGGACTATTCCTGCTGTTACAACACATTGTTGCTGGATGAGGAGCGGGGCAAATTATTTGTGGGATCGAAGAATTACCTCATCGCTCTCAACTTAGAAAACATCAGCAAACATGACAAGAAGGTGAGTAATGCTCAGACATGGACTATATATCCGGCAAGTCTGAGGGCTTCACTACCCAAGAAGCTGACCTACTGAGGGATGCTGATTAATGAGTTAAAAGATTTACATTCCAATTACGGAAGTGAAGGAGACAATAAGAATATCCAAGGGGTAGTTGGCAGAATAACTGGAAAGTTTTGGTTCAGTTCCTGGGAATACTCTGCTTGATCAAACCATCAATTTCCTCCACAACCTTTTTATTTCTCACCCTGCATTGTTTGAATCCACTTTCCAGTCTAGTTGGGAGTTTACATTGTTGGGTGCCTGGCTGCAAAGAAAGAACTTGAAGTAGATTACATGAGCTTTCTTCAGTACATTCCTCAGGGGCTCACGTCAGTGGAGGTACTTCTAGACTCGGCTGTCGTCTTCTACAGCTAACAGCTCCTGTTCACCAATAGGAATGGGAAGAATGCGGATTTTTGGTTTCAGGAACATGAGAAAACGACAGAAAATATTTTGAAAACTTTTATGGTTTTATTATAACCATGACAGGATGACAATTTAATGAACCAGTTGAAAGGTGGTTCTCTCTCTTTCTCTCTTTCTTTCTCTCTCTTTCTCTCTTTTTCTTTCTTTCTTTTTCTTTCTTTCTTTCTTTCTTTCTTTCTTTCTTTCTTTCTTTCTTTCTTTCTTTCTTTCTTTCTTTCTCTGTCTCTCGCTCTCTGGTTCTTTCTCTGTCTCTCGCTCTCTGGTTCTCTCTTTTTCTCTTGCTTCCCTCTTTCTCTTTACAATGCTCTGAAGTGAGAGTCTAGATGCATTATGAAGTGGAGCTTAAATCCCTACCTTTCTGACAGGGAGCTGAAAGCAGCTACATTGGGACACACAGACCCCTTAGCCAGGGTAGTGCTGACTTGCTTCCCAGCCTTGCTGACCATTATTGCACTCACTGGGGTTTCTTGGCCAAGGTTGGGAGCAGGACCCAGGAGTTAATCTCCTCCCCCTCTACCCTGGACGAGATAAACCCACCTCTACAAAGCAGACTAAGCTTGGAGACATGAGCGGAGACGAGACATTGATTGGAGGACCCACTCTGTGAGCTGAATTCTTCACCTAGTGATACAGAGGGATTTTTCTGGGTTCTGATTTCCCCTGGAGTGAGGGTGGGTGGCTGGAGCAGTCATTCAATGTGATTTTTTTGATATGACGACACTCCTTATCTTACCTGGAGTTAGGTTGGCTATCCAATGAAGATTCTAAAAACTGGAGGGACAGTTAGGAACCTCTTAGTTTGAAAGGAACAGCACAGTATCAATGAAACAAAGCGTCTCTTTGTGTGTGCATGTCTGTGTGTTAGAGTGTGCATCTGTGTGTGTGTGTGTGTGTGTGTGTGTGTGTGTGTGTGTGTGTCCTCCTACACCCAGGCAAACAGGAAGGGTGGCTACTTCACCCTGAAATGCTGCCACCCCTTCTCCAATCAGCAAACTGGGCAGGGGACTACCTCTGATCGGCTAAACTGGCCTCCGTTGCCTCAGTGAACCTGGACCAGAAATGTCCCGGGGACTGGATGGAGGAACAGGGGCCTGGTACAGTCCCCGGCAATTCCTGCTACTGGCAAGGCCCTGCAAATCTAGGCCCAAGTCTCGAATGACCACATCATGTGAAAAGAATTCTTTAAAAGGCTGCATTCCTTCCTAAGCATATCGTTGCCGAACCTTTATGAGATCGTGGCGTTCTTTTAGTCCAAAGTGGCAGCCGAAAGAATTCTGTTGTCACAAGCAACAGACCCTGATTGCAATGAATTAACGCATTAGCTGCGTTTTTTTTTGGTTCGGAACTATGTGATGCTGGTGGATTTGGTGAGAGGCAGGGAGGAGGGGTGGGGAAGGCAGATTTAAATAACCCCTTATGATTTGTGCTCTCCTTCCTCCCCGACATGCAGTGACCAGATTCCCATTTCTCCTCCCATGTGATTCCCATGTGGAATATTACGTAACCAGCTGAAACAACACTGCATTTCACTGATATCTTTCTCTGCTTAATGGTTGGGGCGTGGCTGAGGCCCTTGTTTTTCAGGCAGCTGCTGAATCTGATAAATGAAGATGCATTCCACTGCTAATTAAAGCGAAGTTGATGGGCTACAATGAGGACATTCGTTGAAAACATCCTACATTAGGTTGACATGCAGCTTAGCTGATGTCTGAGCTGTTACCAGGCAGCACTTCAATACCTTCTGTGTTGAATTTAAACCTCTCCCTTCCTCATTCACTGTCTCTATTGTCTAACTTTACCCTGCTGGTCTGTCCCACCATATCTTATTTTTGTTTTGGCTCTCTCTCTCTGTCTCTCTCTCTCTCTCTCTCTATCTCTGTCTCTCTCTCTCTCTCTCCCTCTCCTCTGCAACCTACCCTTCTGCTGTGTTTTCTGTCCCATCTAGGGACGGCACTAGGTGACTCATTAGTTACCATTACTGCCTCACAGTGCCAGGGGACCTGGCTTTGATTCCAGCTTCGGGTGACTGTCTGTGTGGAGTTTACACATTCTCCCCGTATCTGTGTGGGATTCCTCCCACAGTCCAAAGATGTGCAGGTTAGGTGGATTGACCATGCTAAATGCAGTGTTGTGGGTTTGGGGGCAGGGGGAGAGCTGTGAGGCGGCAGTGCTAACCACTGAGCCACCATGCTGTATATGGTGAATTATGAATTAATTTCCTTTTAAAATCTAGAATTATAAAGCTAGTCTAGTGGTGATCTTCTAACCATTGTTGATTGCTGTAAAAACCCATCTGGTTCACTTATGCCCATTAGGAAAGAAAATCTGCCATCCTTACCTGGTCTGGCCTAGATATGACTCAGACCCATAGCAATGTGTTTCACTCTAAACTGCCCTCTGGGCAATTAGGGATGGCTAATAAATGAATAAATTAAAAAAATTGTGAGCTGTATTACAGAGATCAGTATTTGGATAATAGTCTGTCAAGAGTTTGTTCGAACTCCTGAGTGTCAGACAATAGTCACTCTTTGCTAGGGACAGCACTGTCAGAATAAAGACATCACAGTGAGGGGAGCAGTCACTCAGCTGTGCACGATAAAATCCCAAATCCTAAACCTCATAGCCGCCTCGCTCCCAAGAATTTTTTGCCAAAAGATCAGTAAAGACAGATCAAAGCAGTATCAATGGTATGTAGGACAATAATGGATAATTGTGGATTACAGTGGATAAAGCAACAATTACAGCAATTCAGGCCAAGCAATAATATTGATAGTCCACTTGTCCCTCTTTCCTTATCTAAATCCATCATTGCAACCCTCTTTGCTCTTTTCCCTCATCTGTTTGTCTAACTTCCATAGAGTCATACAGCATGGAAACAGACCCTTCAGACAGCCAGTCCATGCCGACTGTAATCCTTTATTTTCATTCATGGGATGAGGGCATCGCTGGCTAGGCAGAATTTATTGCCCATCCCTAATTGCCCAGAGGGCAGTTAAGAGTCAACCACATTGCTGTGGGCCTGGAGGCACATGTAGGCCAGACCAGTTGAGGATGGCGGTTTGCTTCCCTAAAGGACATTAGTGAGCCAAATGGGTTTTTCCAACAATCGGCAATTGACTCAAGGTCATTATTCGATACTTAATTCCAGATATTTTATTGAACTCAAATTCCACTATCTGCCATGGCCGGATTCGAACCTATGTCCCCAGAATGTTATCTGGGTCTCTGGATTAACAGTCCAGCGATAAAGAATCACAAACTAAGCTAGTCCCACCTGCCTGCTCCTGTCCCATATACCTCCAAACCTTTCCTATTCATGTACTTAGCCAAATGTCTTTTAAATGTTGCAATTGTGCCCACAAGCAGCACTTTAATACACCAATACTATTCCCTTCATTACCTTCCTAGTGAGTGTGCCATTCTTGCCACTTTCTGAGTGAAGTGGTTTTCATTTCGGAATTTCCTGTTGGATTTCTTGGTGACTCTCTTATATTGATGGCTTTTGGCTACACTTTTCCAAACAAGAGGAAACATTCCCTTCATATCCATTCGAAAACAAACTTCTGTCATTTCAAAGAAATCTATTAAGTCACCCTCAGTCTGCATTATTTTTAAAGAGATGATTCCTTCAGTCTTCTGAATGTTTTACTGGAGGAAACAGCAGATGAAATGAGCAAATATTTTGCTTCTGTCTTCACTATAGAGTGTACAATTCCAGTAATAGTTGTAAATCGAAAGGTGGATAGGAGGAGGAAGTTGGTGAAATTGCAGTCACCAGGGAAGCAGGTGGATGGTACTGTAAGCTGACAAGACCCTAGCTCCTGATACGTTTCAATCTCGGGTGTTAAAAGTGGTTGCTAATGAAGTTATACATGCATTGGCCATAAATATCCAAAATGTGTTAGATTCTGGAAAGTCACAAAAATAACTCTATCCAAGAAGGGGGTGAGGCAGAAAGCAGGAAACTATTGGCCAGTGAGTTTGATGTCTGTCATGGGAAAGATGTTAGAGTTGAGAATTGAAGAATTTATAGCTCAGCACTTGGGAAAACCCAAGGTAGTCAGGAAGAGACAGGATTTCCTTTTTGCAAAGTCATACTTTTAAACCAATCTATTAGCATTCTTTGAAGGAGTAACAGGCACTGTGGGTAAAGGGGAGCCCGCTGACATACTTTACTCAGCTTTCTGGATGTTCCATGTAAAATGTTGCAGTGAAAAGTGAAGGTCTTGTGGTATGGTGGGTAACATTAGCAATAGATACAAAATTGGCTGGTTGGCAATGAAGGTCAATAAATAGGTCTTTTATTGGTTGACAGGATGTGATAATGGAGCTGATATAGAGAAGGGTCTGTGCAGGGCCCTCAGCAATGGATCTAGATGAGAGGAATGAAAGCACAGTAGCTAAGTTTGTGGATGTTACAAATATAGGTAGGTAAGTTATGCAGAGTGCAGAAGGATATAAATATTTTGAGTAAACAGGCAAAAATCTGGCAGAAGGAGTACAATGTGGGATAAAATGAAGCTGTTCATTTTTCTTAAAATAAAATATTATTTAAATATTAGCTGCAGAATTGGAAGATGCAGAGGAATCTAGGTGTTCTAGTGCATGAGTCAACAGATGTTGATATGTGGCTACAGTGAGTGATTAAGAAGACAAATGGAATACCCGAAGGTTGCAGGAATAGCATCTCATTTTTCGCTTGGGAACCCTGCAGCCCAATGGTAACAATGTGGACTTCACAAGCTTCAAAATCTCCCCCCCACCGACTGCATCCCAAAACCAGCCCAGCTTGTCCCTGCCTCCCTAACCTGTCCTTCCTCCCACCCATCCACTCCTCCCACCTCAAGCCCCACCCTCACCTCCTACTACCAGCCTCATCCCGCCTCCTTGACTTGTCTGTCCTCCCTAGACTGACCTATCCCCACCCTAATTCCCCACCTACACTCACCTTTACTGGCTCCATCCCCACCTCTTTGACCTGTCTGTCTCCTCTCCACCTATCTGCTCCTTTATCCATCTTCCAACCACCTCCCCGCTCTGTCTATTTATTTCAGAATCCCCTTCCCCTCCCCGATTTCTGAAGAAGGGTCCAGACCCGAAACGTCAGCTTTCCTGTTCCTCTGATACTGCTTGGCCTGCTGTGTTCATCCAGCTCTACACCTTGTTAACTCTATAATGGAATACCGTCCTCTTTTCTTTTTAACCAGGAATTGAATTTAACATTAAAGATGTTATGCTTCAGCTCTATGGGGCATTGGTGAGACCTCATTGAAGTATTTAAGACTCTGTGTGGTCTTGACAAAGTGGACAAAGGATGTTTCTCCTTGTGGGTGAATGCAGAACTAGGGAGCACTGTCTTAAAAATTAGAGGTCACTCTTTTTGGATGGTGATGAGGAGAATTGTTTTCTCAGAGGGTTGTGTGACTTTGCAACTCTGCAGCCCAGAAAGGTGCTGGAGGCAGGGTCATTAAATGTTGTAAAGGCAACAGTATGTAAATTCTTGTTGGACAAGTGAAATAAAGATCATCAGGTGAAGATGGGAAAGTGATACTCAAAATGTAAAGAGGTCAGCTGTGACCTTACTGAATGTTTGAACAGGTTGGCGGGGCCAAATGGCCTGCTTCTGCTTGCTAATTCACATATTTGTAAATTTTGGCTCATTCAAGATTGAGTCATTTGATGGGCAGAGTGCCAAGTCAGAGGCCATGGAGGGGTTTGCTGGCTTGGCAGCATTTATTACCCATCCCTAATTGCCCAGAGGGTGGCTGAGAGCCAACCACATTGCTGTGGGTCTGGAGTCACATGTAGGCCAGACCAGGTAAGGATGGCAGCTTTCCTCCCTAAAGGACATTAGTGAACCAGATGGGTTTTTCCCCACAATCAACTTGTGGTCATCATTAGATTCTTAATTCCAGATATTTTTATTGAATTCACATTCCACCATCTGTCATGGCGGGATTCAAACTCAGATCCCCAGGATGTTATCTGGGTCTCTGGATTAACAGTCTAGTGATAATACCACTAGGCCATTGCCTCCCTTGTGAATGCTTTACTGCAGAAGGCAGTAGATGCTGGGTCATTAAGTTTGTTTGAGGCTGAGAGATTATTAATCGGTAAGGGAATCCAGGGTTATGGGGAAAAGGCAGGAAAGTGAAGCTGAGGATTATCGGATCAGCCATGATCTCATTCAAAGGCAGTGCAGAATCGATGGGCTGAATGGCCTATTCTGCCTTTACATCTTATGGCTCAACCTTCAGAGCTATTGCCAAATGGGCATTGCCAAGCAGGTCTGCCCTAGCCAGCCCACAGGACATGTAACTGTTTAAAGCCTCAAGGGAGGGCCTGGAGGAAGTAATTTTATTTATTGCCAAAAAGCTCGTTCTATCATTCACTGAGTTAGTAATCCAGATGGCTTCTCTCATTGACTCTTACATCATGTATTTTGACAGAAAATAATAAGATTAGAGCATGCTCTCAGAAAACAAATTTGTTGCCAATTTCAATTTCAAGCCAGTAATTATTGTGAGAAATTTGTAGCCTTGCTGGTAGGCATTTCAACGATACACTTTCTCAGCGCTGCACCAATGTAGATGTTCAGAGAATTAATGCAGTCCCTTGGGTTTATTATGTAATGTTGTTTAGTGTGCTTCAATTCCCAGTTAACTGAAATGACTGATGAACCTGACTGAACGGATTTAGCTATGTTTTCTGAAACAAGCCATGATTAGTTTGGTAGCTGTCTCACCTCTGAAATAACTATATCATGGATGCAAATTCTAGTCCAGGTAACTTCAAAATGTAATCCCAGGCTCATAACCCAGTCCTGGATCTGAGGGGCATGTCTTTCAGGCAGTGTTTTAAACTGAAGCCCCTTTTTCTGTCTCCAATGAGCTTAAAGCATCCCTAGGCTTCATTCAATAAAAAAAGGCAAAGATGCGCTCTATGGGGAATATTTATCCCACAACTGAACAGATTCTCAGGCTCTCTGTCAAATTGACTGTTTGCAGGATCTTGCTCTCCTCTCATTGGCTTCTGTGCTTTTCCAAGTAACCTTAATAAGCATACCTCAGTGATCGCAAAGCACCTTGGACTTGGGATGCCCTGAGGTTGTGAAAGGTGCTATATAAATGCAAGTCATTTCTTTCTTTCGACACCCCTGAAGTGATAGAAGATCTTTTGTTGGTCGTAAAATTATTCCTAAGAATCCCTAAAGTGTGGGAGCAGGCCATTCAGCCCATTGAGTCCACTGACCCCTCTGGAGAGCATCCTACCCAGACCCACCCCCTACCCTATATTTTCCCATGGCTAATCCACCCTAACCTGCACATCTTTGGGCTGTGGGAGGAGACCGGAGCACCCAGAGGAAACCCACGCAGACACGGGGAGAATGTGCAAACCCCACATTGACAGTCACATGAGGCTGGAATTGGACTGTTATCCCTAGCATTGTGAGGCAGCAATGCTAACCACTGAGCCTCAGTGCTCCTTTATGAAAAGCAGCCTCAGTGTAGATATTCCCCATTTGTTAGGGAGGAACTCCTGGTTCTTTCAACAGGGCCCTGCTTATAAATGGTCACATCCATTGTACAGGGTGAGAGCTGATCTGTCCATTGCAGGTAAATGGGGGATTACTGCTTAATCAACTTACTCAATTACAGAATGATGAGGCTGTCATATATTTATCTCCAGTCTAGGTATCTAAGGGGCTGAAAGGCCTTCTCTTATCCCTAATACTCCTGCCTGATTAATAAAGTATAGAAACATAAAAAAGATTTATCCCATATCCTTAGACTCGGACTCCTGGTTTTGGACTCCCCGGTCATCGGGAACATCCTTTCTGCATCTACCTTGCTAGAATTTTATAGGTTTCTATGAGACTCTCCCTATACATTCTTCTGAAGTCCAGTGAATATAATCCTGACCGATTCAGTCTCCCCTGTGTAGTTATGTGGGTCATTGCCATGAACTGTGCAGTTCCAGTTGCTACCATTTCTGTACTGTGCATGTTGCTGGCGAGACTTTTAAACACAGTGCAGTGGCAGATTGAGGTGAATCTGCATGTGAGGGGACACTTCAGGAATGGAAGGGTTAACGTTTCTGCCACCTGTGTGTTTCTGTAATTCTGAAAGGTTGGCTTTCATTGCGTAGGTAACTGCTGTGAGCCCTTTGGCTGTGGAATTCCAGGTAGGGAGGAGGATGAGGTTGGTGTTGACCTGATGGTGCTGTTGCTCCATTCAACTTATTGCGGTTCTCTTTCTTACAGATTTACTGGCCAGCCCCTGTGGAATGGAGAGAAGAGTGTAACTGGGCAGGCAAGGATTTACATGTGAGTACAATCCCTTCTGATTACCTTGACAGTCTCTGCCTGATTGACAATTGGCGACAACTGTGAACAGGAAGTCGGGGGGGGGGGGTCTCTTGTGTCCAGCTTGGAAATGATGCCTCCCCCTTCAACTGATCTGACATTCCTCCCCTTCACTTTCTTGCCTTTTTCCCAAAAACCTTGGTTCCCTGACTGATCAGGAATCTCTCTATCTCAGTCTTAAATAGACACAAGGACTCTGTCCCCACAGCTGTCTGTGGCAAGGAGTTCCAAAGACACTTAACCCTCTGAGGAAAGAAATTCCACCTCATCTCAGTCTTAAATTGGTGCCTCTTTATTTTGAGGCTATGCCCTCTGGTCCTAGACTCTTCCCATGAGAGGAAACTTCCTCTCAGCATTTACCCACCCTTTAAGAATCCTATATGTTTCAGTGAGATCACCTCTCATTCTTTTAAACCCCAGTGATCAGAGTGCCAGCCTGTTTAGTCTTGTCTCATAAAATAATCCCTCCATAATGTTGATTATCTCAGTGAACCTTCTCAAAACTGCCTCCAAGGCAGTAAATTTTTGTTTAGGTAAGAAGCCCAAAACTGCTCACAGTACTCCAGATGTGGTCTCACCAGCACCTTGCACAGTTGCAGTAAGACTTCCCTGCTCTTATACTCCAATCTCCTCGAAATAAGCGCCACCATTCCTTATTACCTGCTGCCCCTGTGTGCTAGCTGTTTGTGTTCCATGCACAAGCAGACCCCAATCCCTTTGAGTTGCAGCTTTCTGCAGATTTTCTCCATTTAAATATTATTCTATTGTTTTGTTCTTCCTTCCAAAATGATAAACTTGCACGTTTTCCCACATTATGCTCCATTTGCCAACTTTGTGCCCACTTACTTAAAGTCTCACTGTCTTTCTGTAAATTGTTTGTATCCGTCTTGCAACCTGCCAGTGTATGCGTCAGTAGCCTATGTTAATAAGCAGAATATAGGTCAGCTGTTTCTGAAAGCAAAAACACGAAAACAAGATACAGCCACTGTGGAGGAAAAGAACATTATAAAACTGAAGGATGGAGTTCACGGCCTGAAGTTGTTGATCTCCCTGTTGAGTTCAGGAGGTTGTAAAGTACCTAAGGTGAAAAATGAGGTGCTGTTCATCCAACTTGTGTTAGGCGCCACTGGAACACTACAGCAGACCCAGGAAAGAATGGGAATGTGAAAGCAGGATGTATTAACATGGCAGGTGACCGGAAGTCGGTTGATGCCTTGTGGACTGAGCGGAGGTGTTCCGTGAAGCCGTCACTGAATCAGTGTTTGGCATCCTTAGTGGAGAGGAACCCACCCCCATTGTGAGCAGTGTAAACGAAAGACAAGATTGAAGGATATTGCAAGTAAATCGCTGCTTCACCTAGAAGCGTGTTTGTGAGATTGAGGAGGAAAGAGGGTTAATAGGTAAAGCCACCGTAGTCCTGGTGGGCTGCTCTCTCATTGGAGAGATCCAACTAGTGGTGAGTTTAACCTGAGGGTCACCAGACCTCCAGCAAGATTGGGAAGGTAGGACCATCATGGTAACCTCAGCCAGTGTGGGAATTGAACCCATACTGTTGGTCTCATCCAACCAACTGAGCTAACTTTATGAATTGCATGGGAAGCTGCCATTGGCGGGAGATGAGGTGTTGGGGGTGGTATTAGATCTAAGAGTCAGATTTGAAGGCAAATCTTAAAGGTGAGAGTTTCAGAAAGGTGTAGGGAGAGAGTTCCAAAGCTTAGTGCCTGAACAGTTAAAGGCCTGGCTGCTAATGGTGAAGTGATCAATAATGTGATTGTGCGTAGGATTGACAACCTTGACTAGATGAATTTCTACAAGTTTTGTTGCCTGTTTCACCTACAATGACCTCCAGATCAAACAGCCCTTTTTTGAACAATGTACGATAGTGACAACCTAAAATGTGTTCAAGAACAATGAAAGAAACTCCCAGTGAATTATTTAATGCACCTATGTTTTTTCCCCTGGATAGTCTGTAGCAGCCCTGAGTTTAATGTTTAATTCCTGGAAACTCCAGGTCAACACTGGAATGTTGGCAAGGTCAATTGTGAGAGGCTGGAATTGGAGGAGTGCAGAGATTGGGATGCGGGAGGGATTGGAGGAGTTTACAGAAACAGGAAGGGGAAATGTGGAAACAGCACTGAGAATTGAAAATGCTAATGTTGAAAAGACATGCAAATTGAGAAAGAATGTTAAACCTTGGAGGTTGTTGATTGGAGGAGAGAGGGAAAACTGATGGGTGAATCTATGGACTGCCACAGCTTTGGTCTTGTGAAAGGTTGTGCTGGAGGATGAGGTGTGACAAACCTCAATTTTGATGGTGAGATGCAGAAAGGAGTAAAAGTACATGAGGTGTGTTTAGTGATTGTAATGAGGTCAGCCACGTGGACCTCACAGAATATGAGTTGGCTGATTGGGGCTATTAACCGGGTCCAATTAGGGAGCGCTAGCTGACAGATATAAACAGGAGTGTCAGGGGTTCTGTTCACTCTGAGAGCTGGCTCTGAGGGAGCTGGATCAGTGTCAAGGTCTCTCCACGTGTAAATAAAGGGTGACTTGGTGACAGCATACTGGAGCTATTTCAGTAATGTTTGCAGTTTTGAAGAAACAAGAAGAAAGCTCAGAAAATCATTGACATGCACCAAGAAGCACCATGAGACAAGAGGGACTGTTTAAAAGTGGGAGACTTGACAAACAGGACGGGGGCTGTATTTAACAGAGCCCAAGTTGCTGATAACAAAAAGCTTTTTCTTATATCTCACAGAACAGGAGTGGGCCATTTGGCCTCTTCAGCCTGCTCTACCATACATTAAAATTGTCACTACTCTGATTGAGGCCTCAACTCCATATTCCTACCTATCTCCGAGACCCTTTGATTCCCTTGTTAGTCAAGAATTTACGTCTGCTTGAAAATATTCAAATGACTCCACCTCTACTGTTCTCTGAGGAAGGGAGTTCCAAAGTCCCTCTGAGAGATGACATTTTATAGAACCCCCACTGTGGAAAGAGGCTGTTTGGCCCATTGTGTCCATGCTGACCCTTCAAAGAGCATCCCACCCAAAACCAGCCCCCTACTCTATCCCTGTAACCCCATGTTTACCATGGCTAATTCACTTAGCCTGCATAGTACAGACAATCTACCATTGCCAGTCAACCTACTCTGCACCTCTTTGGACTGTGGGAGGAAACCAGAGCACCCGGAAGAAACCCACGCAGACACTGGGAGAATGACCAAACTCTACACAGTCACTGAAGGCTGGAATTGCATTGAATTAGCTTTATTGTCACATTTACTGACAGAGCACAGTGAAAAGTTTACAAGTCACCACTTACAGCGCCATCTTAGGTACAAAGATACCTAGGTACAGAATCTTGGTACAAAGCAGAAAAATAAAGGAAAGCAAAGTTTAAAAGTTAAACATGACAGAAATCAAAAAAAAAGAACCACAGTTAACAGTTCAAGACCACAGTCCGTAAACCCCTGGCAATACTGGGCTCACACGCCTCATAAGGGCTTGAATGCCCCTCCTCCAGGCTCAATTTTGCCCCCACAGCCGCCCCGGCTGTCTGTCTGCTCTCGCTGCCCCCCCCCCCCCTCCCCCCACAGCCGCCCCAGGCTGTCTGTCTGCCCCAGGCTCTCGCCGTGTTTAGGATGACCACCATCGACACTGGCGAACCCCTGTTGCGGCCATGTTGGAATTGCCGTCCCTGTGCTGGCTCAACCTCTTCCGCACTGCACAAAATTTGCACCTTTATATACGGTGTGTAGATTAAACTAAGAAAAAAAATGTAGTAAAACAGGAGAAAGAAAAAAGAAAAATAGTCAAAGCAAGTAAAAAGTGAAAGTAAGAGCAGATGAGCCCCGCACCGCTACTCAGCCGCCATCTTGAACCCAGGTCCCTGGAGCTGTGAGGCAGCAGTGCTAACCACTGAGCCACCCTATCCATCATAAATGTGAGATCTTTCTTTTTAAAACTGTCTCTCTTCATTCTAGTCTCTCCCAGCATCCACTAGGTGGGAAGGGGATAGGCTTGCAGGATGAGTGATAGAGGGTTGGTTTGAGACTGAGGAGGGGAAGGGGAGTGGGGAACAGAGGTGATGAGAAATTCATTTACCTCAAGAGGCTAACAAGCCCAGTCACAGCTGGAAAATAATCTGGGCCCTCGGTCTTTTCAGGTATAATTATAGCCTCTCTTTATACCTGGAAAAACTTGTCAAATCTCTGTCAATTTATGAATTTTTTTAAAGGGTGGATTGGGCCAGAGATGTTAGGAAGCTGGAATATTTCCCATCTGCTGTCTCCCTGTATTCAAGCCAACTACCATCAACAGTCTGCTCTCTGCATTTTGAATTCGATCAGACTCGGATTTTGAACGGGTCAGGTGAGCCGTGTATATGTTGTTGAGGTCCACAGCTTGAGATTTCTCACGCTGCAAAGGCAAGATGCCAAAACTTCATACACACACTCGTGGCTGAAACTGGAATGGCTGTTCTAAGCGGTTCTGCTAGGAGGAGTACAATTTGCTTTCCCGTAGCACCTTTTCATAACCTCAGGATGTCCCAGCGTGCTTCGCCACCAATAAAAGCACTCTTGAAGCATTGCCCCCTGTGGCAATTTTAGAAAGACAACAGACAATTTGCAGACTGCAAGCTCCCATCAACAGCAACGTGATAATGAACACATCATCTGGTTTGGATGATGTTGGTCAAGAAATAAATCTTGGCATGGACAACGTCGAAAGCTCTTGCATTCACAGCAGCCCCATGGGATCGTTCTGTGTTTTAATATCAGATGCCTGGATCCTCAGTGTGGAATTCTCTCCCTAAGCCTCTCCACTTCCCACTTTTTTTGATCTACGTTTTACTAAGCTGTCTTAATATTTCTTTTGGAGCTTGATGCCATACATTGTCTTCTAACGTTCTTGTGAAATGCCTTGGAGCACTTCAAGGTGTTATATTGATGCGTG